CTCTCTCTCTCTCTCTCTCTCTCTCTCTCTCTCTCTCTCACACACACACACACACACACACACACACACACACACACACACCTACTTTCTAAAGACTCTCAGAATACTGTTTAGAAAGAGGTATTATGGTAGGGGATTTAGCTCAGTGTAGAGTGCTTGCCTAGTAAGCACAAGGCCCTGGGTTCAGTCTTCAGCTCCGGGGGGAAGGGGGGGGAGAAAGAAAGAGGCATTATAACTCTAAATTCTAGCAGTGGGAAGGGGAAATAGAGTATGGTAATAGAGGACTGAATGATCAAAATGCATTATACACATTTTTGAAATGTCATAAAGACTATTTAATACAATTAATAAATGCTAATAGAACAAAGATAAAAATTAAAATAAACTGAATAAGATACTAAATTCTTTTAAATCATCAACACATATAAATAGACATTTCTCAAAAAGACACAGATGGTTAATAGGTGCAGGGCAGTGCTCAGTGTTACTGATCATCAAACAAAAGCAAATCAAAACCAGACTGAGTATGAAAAGGTTATGAAAAGATGAGAAATAAAATGCTGGCAGGGATATGGAGGACAGGGAACTCATACATGCTGTTTGGTGAGAATACTAATTGGTCTAGACAAGTTAAGTATGTATCAGTTGGTGGATGGATAGCACATATAGGTGTAAATACACAATGGAATACTGTTCAGCCATTTAAAAAATAATCCTGTCATCTGCTTTACTATCGATACAAGTGAAATCTTGTTAAGTAAAATACAACAAACACAAAAAGTCAAGATCCTGTCACTCATATGTGGAATGTAAAAGCTGATTTTATAGAAACTGAGAGTAAAAAGGTAGTTACCACATGTCAGAGAGAGTAGCCAGGGGAGGAGGAAGGGGGACAGTGGGAACAGTTAGTCAATGGGAACTAAGGTGCAGGAAGGAGACAGCCGTGCTGGCGTGCTATTTCATACTATGGTGAGACAAAAAGACCACATATAGGACCTTTTATCGGGGGAGGGGGTACCTAATGATACACATGAGAGCTTAAACTGTAAGAATTTTAGACTTTGCAAGTAGAAGTTCAATCATTATATTTCAAAGAAAAAAATTCAAAGAATTACTACTATTTCAATATACCAATATTTTAAGATTCACAGTTAGAGAACTAAAATATCCTCCAAGTAGGAGGCATCACTACCGTGGGAACACTCAGCACAGGAGCCTTACTTGTTCGTAGTGTGTCTGTTTAATAAGTTGTTCTAAAGCTAATTTCACACGGTTAAAAGTGTCTAATTCTTTTGATAATATTTCCTTCTGTTCAAAAATCTTCTTCAAATTGGATGCAGAAAGATTAACCTGACAAAATAAAAGAAGCCCACATATACATGTTAAGACAACAGTAAGTAAAACACATTAGAATGATATCATCAATGAGGAACTGTTTCCTAGTATCAATCAAAATCACTATTTTGCATGTAGTATTGGTGAGCCCTGGCAAGTTTACACATAGTAGTCAGAATGCACTCCATGGTACATTAAATAAAATAAGTTGTACAACTCCACAGCTTTGCAGTATTGGTTCCACTAAACCGCAGAGCACATCTGCTCTTGTCCCAAAGTGAAGTTTAGTTGAAAGTGTAAAATCGTCTTCTGTTCCAAATGACATCACAGAAAACAGGTAAACAGTATCTCTCAGAGTTTTCTTTTTTAAAGATCTACTTATTTTTGTTTGATGTGAATGAGTGTTTTGCCTGCATGCTTGGCTGTGCCTCATGTATGCATGGTGGCCATGGAAACCAGAAGAGGGCATCAGAGGTGCTGCAGCTGGAGTTAGGGATGGTCCTCTGGAAGAGCAGACAGTGCTGCTAACCACTGAGCCATCTCTCCACCCCACACTTTTAGTTTTAAATGAACTCTTCAGAAAATCTCATTCTCTAGTACAAGGCCAGGTAAGTCACGCATCAACCTGCAGTATCTAGCTTAGTCTCTTCCTAGGTGCATGTCTGAGAGATGTTTGCCTTTTAAGAAAAGAACAGAGTTAACAACAGGAATAAAGAATGCTGTCCTGTCTCTCCCCACCCCCGCATTTTTGGTATCATGTACCCATATGTGGGCATTCCTGTTAAGATTTGAGTCCTTAGTTGGGTCATCTGAATATGATGCTCACTTTCCATCTCACTAGCCATTCTAAGTCCAACACTCACGTTTTCTAAACTAATTCCTTCCACGGTGTTCTTAAATAACGGCAAAAGTAATTCTACTGAACAGGATGCCGACTCAGCTTCCTTAAGCGCTGCCTCCAACTCCGTCTTTTCATTTAAGTTGTCTTTCTTGAGGCTAATAACAGAAAAATAAACCTTCAGTTACATCTAACACACAAACTGGAGACTTTTTAATGTAAGACAAGAACAGACAAGCCTGCCTCCAGACTGACATGGGTTTGATTTACAGATGCTCCTAAGGGAAGCCTGATCACCAGGACTATAGGCATCCAGGCCAAACATGGGCTGAAGAGAGGCAAAAAGAGGTGGACCTGGAGTACAGAGAAGAGAATAACTCATCTTATTCACATTCTGCTATATGGAATCATAAGTTATGTGCATTTAAAATTTATCTATAGGGCTGGAGAGACAGTTCAGCAGTTATGAGCATTGGTACTCTTCCAGAGGACCCAGGTTCTATTCTCACACCCACATGGTGGCTCACAACTGTCTGTAACTCCCTCTTTGGGCCTCCATGGGCACCAAGTATGAATGTGATGCACACACATATATGGAGGCAAAATTCTCGTATATATAAAATAAATATGTCTTTAAATTTTTAATAAATAAAAATCTATGTATAACTAACTCTAAAGAAGCTTTTTCAATAATTATAAACAAAACAGCAAGTTCTGTGAGAGCAATCACGCCCTTCATTACTCAGTACTGTTTCTTTCTTTACAGAATATCTTATAAAAATTCATTCAGAGATGATGATGGGGCAAGAAAGACGGCTCAACAGGTCAAGGCACTGTGAAGTCGCAAAGCCTGGAGGTCTGTTCAGAACCTGGAACTCATGGTGGGAAGACAGAACAGACTCTAAAAACTGTCCTCTGACCTACAAAGCACAAATCACTCACACACACACACACACACACACACACACACACACACACACACAAATAGAATTATTGGCATCTTACATATACTTCAAGTAGAATATTTTATTCTTAAGTACCACTGGCTTAAAGTAAAAAACTTATGATAAATAACTGCCATTCATTCAAAATCATGGTCAGAAAATCAACAATTACATTTGATGAAACACCATTTTCCACTTTCCTCCAGATAAACTAGAAGCGAAGCTATATTACCTGTAATGGCAATATGACATTTTAAGATTACTATTACTATATTAATTCACACAAATATAACAAGTAAATTTCCAATTCAACAAAGCAAAATATAATAATTATCTGCTATACAACAATATACCAAGCATTAATATTCACTTTACAAATTATTAATGGATTGGGTTGGCTTTTCTATTGCTTTCATTAAATAACAACTTAAAGCACCCACCTGTAATCCAAGAGTAAGAAAGGCTGACACAAGAAGCCGAGAGTTCAGTGACAGCCTGGGCTGCAGTGAAGCCTTGTCTCAAAAAGTAAAGCAAACAAACAATAAAAAGACTGACAACCGCTCTAAACTGCTAAGAAAGTATTTTTATAATCAGATTGCTAGGTATATTTTAATGAATGAATACTAAATGTGCAAAGGATATTCTTGAATGATTAGTGCACTTGATTTGGAAGTTAGAAAATGAGATTTGCTCTGCCAATAACAAGGATACCTGCTGAGGTGATTCTCACTGGCACACTGTGGAACAGGTCCTCTCTCCTGTGTGAGATATGAAAAGAGTCCCCTGGGATGACTTTCATCGCTAGTAGGTGTCTCCATCAACTCAGTAACTCTCTTTTATAAGGCGCTTCGGCAACAACTTTTCCACAGATGCTGAAAGCCAGGGAACATATGTTATTAAACTTATCATTTCAGTAATTTTTTCCTTCTTGCTACCCTGTGATATAAAGACCCCAATCATATACAAAACATTTCAAAGACAATATCAAAATCTTAACTGCTACCTGGGCATGGTTTAGCATGGCTTTAATCTTAGCACTTGAGAGGCAGAAGTAAGCAGATCTCTGTGAGTTTGAGACCAATCTGGTTTACCCAACAAGTTCTAAGCCAGTTGGGGCTACATAGTGAACCTCATCTTAAAATATATATATGCTACTCACTATTCTAGTGACTCAAAATAGTATCAAAATTGCACTGCATGTAATTTATCAATTTCAACTTTCCATACACACTTTCAAAAGGTTTGCTATTAATATTACATATGGGTACAAAAATCTTTTTTAAGATTATTTTTAATTATGCGTCTGTGAGTGGGTATGTGCATATGAGTCCTAGGGGTTGGAGACACAGAGATCAGAGTTGCCTCACCTGGAGTTACCCAGCAGTTGTGAGCAACCTTACATGGGTTTTAGAACTAAACATGGGTCCTCTGCAAGGACAGTAAGCTCTTAACCACTGAGCAATCTCTCCAGCCCCAAGTGTAGATATCTTCACTGATCTGTTTCTGGAAGTATTATAGTAATCCTTCAATAATCACCCATAGGACTGGAAAACAAATGTGCAAACTTCGGGTTTTGTATTAGTTCCATCAGGCCTAGGCAACAAGACACTGTTGTACACTTAGCACTGTACAAACTCAACGCACCTTTGAATGTGTTTTGCAACAACAGCTGCAGAGCAGGGAAGACATTATTTTGAAAGTAGTCCTTTGTGGTGTATTTCTTTATTCCATTCCCAGCTTGGTCTAGACTATTCTTTGCTGATAATAATAATTAAAAGTACTTCTGAACATGAGCAAGAATCTTTTCATTTAGCCCTGAAGATGTTACTTTAAAAATGTGACTGTTCGTAGCCGGGAGGTGGTGGCACAGGCCTTTAATCCCAGCACTCGGGAGGCAGAGCCAGGTGGATCTCTGTGAGTTCGAGGCCAGCCTGGACTACCAAGTGAGTTCCAGGAAAGGCGCAAAGCTAAACAGAGAAACCCTGTCTCGAAAAACCAAAAAAAAAAAATAAAAAATAAAAAATAAAATAAAATAAATAAAAATAAAAATGTGACTGTTCATACATGAATTCCTCCAAAATTGCTCCATTTAAAGAGATGAATTAACACATCAGCAACAAGAGGCTAAGTTCTCATAACTAAATAGAAATGCTTGTGTGTCTCTTTTGTTGTTGTTCATGCAAGATCAAAGGTCACATTTAAGGTTTTCTACATTGCTTTCAAATATTTATGATTTAGATTTCCATATTAAAATACATTATGCTCAAGAACTTTTCTATAGTTTAGGTACATGTTGAAATGATAGGTTGAAACTATTCACAATATTTGATTAGCAATTCAGAAACCTCCCAGGACACCTGCAAAAACTACATTAAATTTTGTCTGATGTTTCTATACACAATACAGAGACAAATATTTAGTAGCTAAAATTCAAAAGGAACAGTAGTCTAGAGAGCCTGCACCACTCTCCCTGGATCTCTGGCTGCTGAGTTGTGTAACATCTGTCACTACATCAAACTGCAGAGGATACACGGGGATATTTACAGTCCAGAAAAAACGCAAATACACGGAACACATGAAAAGCCAACACAGGCTAATGAGGAATGTGCTCTGGGAAGTCACAGCAAAGACATCTGTGGATCTGTTTGGTTTGTAACTGTCACAGCCCTTCGATGGGGAATTAGCATTTATCTTTTACTCATTCATGTATTCAAATATTTATCTCTCCACAGGCTGGAATCTCAAGAAAGAATGTCCTATTTATAGTTGAATCCTAAATGCCTACAAGCCTTGGAGTACTAAGCAAGCCTGGAAAGTATGAAAGACTTAGTACTCTCAGTGAATATAATAGGCTACTGCTTTTCACTTATCTGTCCCTTGACTGACGTTTCTGAGTGATTAAAAGAAAAATGGTTTCTATATTTTAGAAGTAAAACTTAAAACCAGAATGAAAGGATAGGGATCTTCCATTCTTAGGAAATACTTGATAAAATGAGAACCACTTTGGTGGCATCAGTATTTTAAGTGCGTTCTCATGTAGCTTTCTGGGCTATTGGTGAGTGTACATAAGACAAATTATAAAGCAAAAATTTTGTGCTTCATCAACTACAATTATTAATTACATCTTAAATGATAAATAAATAAAGCTAATGTGTGGTAAAAATGGGGATCTGTGATGGTTAATTTTAATTATCATCTAGACACAATTCTATACAAGTTTAAGTAAATACTTAAAGTTCAGTAGTCTTAAGTTTTTTAAATTGTCAAGGGTATTCATGGAGCTGCTGATGTAGCTATAACCACAGAACTATGTTCCATTTTGATCAACAAGTGTGTTGAGAGATGGATGCTTGGGGACAATGGCTTTAAAAAATAAAGATCATGGCACCTGGACCATTCAGGAAATGTTTTTTTAAAAATCAGTCTCTCTGGAGAGGAACCATAGAATTCCACAGGCTTTTATTTGTTTTGCTAAACATGAATCCCTGAAAAACAAAATTCATTGACCTCAAACAATAGCATCCAGATAAATAGCATCTACTAAAAAAAATTAAAAAATATTCCATGAAATACTCAGCAAGGAACACAAAGTACATGTAGGAATGATGCCTTCTGTCTCTCAGTATTCTGGAAACTAGTCAAAACTTATCAAAGAAATAGTTGCATATTGTTTGACTCCATTGTGGAAAAAAATATATTTTTGAAACAGGTAAGTAAAAATGAGCAAAGTAGGAAAATAGATTTCTAAATAAACCTATCAAAATGATGGGGGTGGGAGTGACAGGTGGAATGACATTTATGATTCAGAGAAGCTAACTTGAATTAGGCCGAAAAAATAGCTGTGATTAAGAAGAGACCACCGCTGCTGATGTGGAATTGTCCAGGGGGACCAAGACTACATCTTAAGCTGGCAGATGAACTTAGTAATTTGTTGTTAGAGTTTTCCTTTTTGAAGGAGTAAAGGGGTCAATCTTGGCACCATGTGGCAGGATTGGAGTCCCTGAAGAGAGGCCAGGAGGCCACTGGTGACAGAGCAGCCTCAGTTGTAGTGGAGGCCCCAGAACTGAAGGATCCACGAATAGAAACTGAAGCTTGGTATCATTAGTCAAGGTCAGAGTTCCTAAAGAAAGCCCAGGAGAAGTTACTGGAGAAAGTGCAGCCTCAGTCACACAGAGACACCAGGATTGAAAGACATGGAAAGAAAATGGTTAAAGTGCAGCCTCAGATGCATTTAAGATCCCAGCATATTAAAGATGCTAGGACCATGGGATGATCACCAAGGACAGCAGTATGTGTGGTATAGAGTTGACCTAAGATAAGCTTCCCATGACAGAACTGGAGAGGTTTGGCTATGCAAGCCCTTTGAAGCTCAGATCACCAATGAGTCCCAGATACCAGACACTGAGTACAATGAGTTATTTATACTGTTGGAGTTTGGTTTCTGATCTGATTGTTTCTGTGCTCTTGGAATAAGAAAGTATATAAATTGTTTGGATTTTAAAGTAACCTTGCATTTTAAAATGTTTAGACTTTTAAAGACTATGGGGTTTTAAAAGTATATTATGTTTTATATAGCAATGTTAACAAAAGATCTTGGGGATAAACAAGAAAGGAAAGGTTATGGCTTAATAGTAGTATGTCTGTGTGTCAAGTTGACAGGGTGTCAATTGTGTTGGTTAGTTTTCGTCAATTTCAAACAAATTAGTCACATGGAAGAGGGAATCTCAACTGAGGAACTATCTGCCTGGTCTTTGGGCAAGGAGAGCAAAGTATTAAGTAACATTCCTCTGTGGTCTGTGCTTCAGTTTCTGCCTTGAATCCGTAACCTGTAAGTAAAAATGAACCCTTTCCTCCCAAGTTGCTTTTGGTCAGTATTTTACCACAGCAACAATGAAGTAAACTAGAACACAGAGCTAAAAATGAAATGTCAATATATTTTCTCAGAAAATATTTTGAAGAAATCAATTAAAAATTGCTTTCACGGGTGATAAACACATGAACGTAACAAAGGAATGAGAATGCTAGAACAGCAACAAAGAATAGAGTGCTAGAACAGCATCAGGAGAAGTTCAAGGAGAAGTGGCCATATATAAATATAACACATCATTTGCCCGTGGTGCTCTAATGAATCGCTCTACATGTAAGTTATTTTTTAAAACTGTCCCTTCAGGTACCAAAAATAATTTAGAAAACTCTTAAAAATGTTTCTAATTCTTCTTCACTATCTAATCTCAGAACAAGTAGACTAAACAAAACCTAACCATTCTTAGATGGCCAGAGATAGCCCATCAAACTAAATGATTATGACCCATGAAATATCACTTCTTAAATCTTACTGGCCCCAGGACATGGAAAATCAATTAACCACTAGCCACACTGAGCCTTATTTTTCTCTTCTACAAGAACAGAATACAGACCACAGTCACAGTAACGTGCAGAGGAAAAAGTGGACTTCGTCTTTCTTTTGCCCCCCATCCCCTAAACTTAGAACCCATTGGGTTCACTCTGCTGAGGCTTTCTCGGCAGTCTTCACATTTTCCCATTTTTTTCCTTTTTAAGTAATTATCCTGAATTAACCAACCTATTCTTAAAATTACTTACAAGCTTCCTGAGTTGATCAGAACTGATTTTACAGAACAACCTTTAGGACATATTTATTCTTTGTGGAAATTTTAGAAGTCATTATCAAAGTAGTCATAAATTGAGAACTGCTAAGCTAGAGGATGGGGCGAGGGAGAGCAGTGGCTTCCAAGAGAATGCAGCCCAGCAGATGGTTATTTGTTTTATATATTCATCTTTCTGTTGTGTGTACGAAATTAACAAAAGTGACTAATAAATAAACAAAGCTATTTGTTCAGATCTCGAGATGCTT